CAGCTGCTTTGCATCTGCCCCCCCCTCCCCGCACCGCAAGGGCTCGGCCGCCGCCGCGGGGGGCGAACCCTCCGGTCCGCGGGGCGCTAACGCCATTCGTTATCTCTGCTCTGCAGCCGGAGAGTCCGGAGCGCCGAGGATTAAGCGGCCGGTCCAAGGTGACTTCGCAGCCGAGTCCGAGAGCGGGCTCCGAAGTCCCGGCGGCCGCCCCCCGCCCCGCCCGCACCCCCGCTCCGCCGGCGGGGCTCCCCTCCGGGAGCGCTGCGCCCGCACCCCGCTTTGCCCGGCTCCGCCGCTCCCGCTCTGCCCGGACTAGCCCCGGGGAAGCGATGCGCTGCTTCAGCGCAGCCGCCAGCACGCCCGCCCGACAGGTCATTCTTTTCGCTTTGGTTTTTTTGGGTTGTTTTTTTTTTTTTTTTCACCCTTCCTTTGGTAAAACGGCCGTTTGCATGCGCTTCTCCCCAGCGCGGGGCCGAACCCCGACTGCGGGGCCGCCGCTTGGAGCATGATGCCCGGCCCCGGGTCCGGGGATGCCCGAGGACCCCCAGCTGCGGGGGGAGGAAGGAGTTTGCGGCCGCCCCCTCCCCGCTGCAGCCCCTGGGGCTGCTGCCGAGCCACCAGCATCGGCCCCCCCGCACCGGCGACGCTTCTGCTGCTGCGGGTCATCCCTTGGGCACGGAGAGCCTGGAACCCAGGGCTGCCTTTGCGGCGTTTGCTGCTGGGCAACTCCCCCGAGAGGCGTTTGGAGGGCATAGTTCTTAAGTTTGTTTTAAGTGAGCTGGAGGCCTGAGAGACGTGTAAGTACCCGGCTCCCTGCAGCGTCTGGTCCCTGGCTGAAGGTGCCTCCTCAGAGCGATGCAGCACAAGCAGCTTTGGGCAGGGGGCTGGCGGCGGGTGGCAGGAGAGACTCGGAGATGCTGGAGAGCGCTGGGGGGTCTGGGGTCCAGGGCACGGTGGTGGGGAGCCTGTCCCACAGGTTGCTCAGGTGGGCTGGGAGCCAGGGGGGGAGGTGGGATGGGGAGAGCTCCTGGGCAGGTCTCTCTGCGTCTCTGCATTTCGGGGGTGCTGTGCTCTGCTGGGAGTGGCAGTGGGCTCCTGCCTGCCCCAAGGAGCCACAGCACAGCTTCCAGCAGCAGGCCTGGTGTCCTGTCCCAGAGCACGTCGTGCCTGCGCTCAGGCTGGCCTGGGAGCTCCTCTCCCCCAACCTCAGCGGAGAGGAGCCTGTCCAGCCCGCCAGGCACGGCTTGCTGTCTGTGCCAGGAGGTCACATTGAGTTTTACGAGCAATCAAAGTTTTTATAGGGAAGCTTTCTCACAGATAGTGGAGGCGTCCTGTGGCTTTACAGGTGAATCTCGCGTGCCCTCTCCGTCAGGGCAGTGGTTCCAGGTTGGGATGCAGGGAAAGCGTGGGGCTGCCAGCAAGCCTGTGGGGTGAAACCCTTGCTCAGGGCCCTGGCTTGGAGGGCTATTGCTGCTGGTGCTGGGGCTGAGTCCTGGCTGCACACCCAGCCCAGGGGCTCTGGGACCCCTCGTCTGGGGCTGACCCACTGCGAGAGCAAAGAGCAGGCGGCCAAGGCCCTGGCAGCAGCAGGAGTGGCTGCTCCCTGCTTCCCCTTCCCTGGCTCCTGGGGAAAGCGTGTACCCGCAGGCGTGGGAGGTAGCAGGATGCCCCCGGAGGGGCTTGCCCTGTGCACTGGAGGTCAGGGCTCTGATGGTGTGAAGGGCAGCAGCTTCGGGCGTACGGAAAAGTAACGGTGGCAGCTGGTGTGGCAGGTTCAGTCAGTAATCTCCCAGCCGCCCAACGCGTGCTTTATTTAGTGGTAACATAGCACTTCTGTCTTCCTGAGACCACGGCATGACAGGAACAGGATCAGCCTCCGTTAACCCCACGCATTCAATTCAGATTGCGCTCATGACGTTATAACGGTGGCAGACAGGATTAAAAGTGTTACAAGCTGCAAGGAATCGTCTTTCCTGTAAGTAACTGTCCCCTCGCGGTGCCCTGCCTGCCCAGGCATACCTGCAGCACCAGGCATCCCCTTCCCAAGTCCAGGTAGCAGCACGATTCCCCCAGGACACTCCTGGCTGTGAGGTCCCCTCTGTAGCATCCCCCGGGCTGGTCTTCGAGCCTGGCAACTGCAGGAGAACCTCCATCTGGTGGGAACCGCTCCCTGACGTTAGCTAAAGCCTCCCAAGCAAAATGAAAAGTGCTTCTTGGTAAAGTTAAATAACTCCTTCCCTGCAGTGCTTGCAATGCAGCACTGCAGCAGGGCCCGTAGCCCAGGATGCAGGGCTCTCGGCTTGGCTGGGGCTGCGACGTGCCTGGGGAGTTGTTAGCACGGGCACGTGTGGAGGAATAAATCAGCATCCGAAGCGGCTGCAGAGGGATGCAAACCTGAACCTGAGGGCAGTGAATCCAAGTTAAGGTGTTGGTGGAGCTGGGGACTGGCTTGTAGCTGTGTCCCCTGTATTTTGGTTGTCGGAGTGCTCAGGGAAAGCTTGGTAGGGGTGGCTGGATCCTTTTGGTGGCTGAGATCTGGGAAAGGGGAGGACAGTGCTTTGCTGGCTTGTATCGTGTCTTGTCCGTGCCACATCATACAAGTGAGACGGGTCCGGGTGTGATGGGGATGAGGAGTGAGGCTGCTCCCCTGGCCCGGAGCCAGAGCATCCCTGTGCCCCCTGGAAAGGGTTCCTGTGGGCACTGCTGGCCCGGCGTGGGACCCCAGGAGCTTTCAGGCGTGCCCTTGGCTCTGGCAGCTGGGCTCGTACCTGCTCCCCGACGCCTTTCTCCCTGCTGGTGGGGAGGAGAGGAGCGGGAGAGCGGCGTTCTGCAGTTTGAAGGTCATCTGTCAGCTCCAGCGGGAGAGGAGGCTCTCTGCAAGGCGGGTGTGAGGGGGTGCCTCTGCGGAGGCCCGCACCGGCAGGAGCCTCTGCACCGCCTGGCTGTGAAGCCCTTGGCTGGGCTGGGGGACGGCGTGGTGGCAGGCGGCCAGGACAGCAATGCTAATTAGTGCTCCAACTCCCTGCTTGAAGAACAGAGAGCTCTGCTTTGCTTTGGGCTTTTTTTTTTTTTTTTCTTTTCTACCAATACAATTTACATTCATGGTTTATAACTTGCAGCATTATATGCCTATTGTCTAAAATGAAACAGCAGCTATTTTTGGAGACAATACATGGATACCTTGGGTACAGACAACTGATGCTGATTTCTGAGGTCAACAGTCCCATGTCCCATTCCCCTCCCCTTTTAAATAAAGGGGTTCTGTTAATTTCAATTCCAGCTTTACAGCTGTATTTTGTTCAATATACTATCTATGAAAGACCCAACCAAGACTGTAATCCTAATTTTGGTAAGCATTCAGTGTAGCCTTAAGCTTCACATGAAGCAGAAAACTCTCAGGGGAGAAGAAAGAAAAAAAAAATAAAAGAGGAAAAGAAGATTGATTACCACCTATCATTAACACTGTAGGGCATTAACACTGAGCACGACCTCAGCATCAACTGTATCTGCTCATAAATATTAATTT